GCTTATTTCTTTGTTTAGACTAGATGGCAAACCTGCCATATGTTTCTCTCACGTTGCTGTTTTACAATACCTCATATGTTATTTCTGAGTGATTAATGAGAAGGGTAACTAAAAAGGGCATAAGAGCACTCTTGCTGTGCACCTCACTGGATCTGCACTTTGCCAGCTGCAAGGGTACTTTCTGCATGGTTCTCAGACAGATCTTATCTTCTGTGCCAGAGAAATTGCCAGTTTGAGTTAAGCATAGGATTCTGTGACATGTTTGGTCACAATCCAGCCATCCCGGCTCCCATTTCTTTTCACAGCCTGTTTGCTTAAGTGCACTATGGAAGTTTAAAGGGGGGAGAAAAAAACAGATTTTTTTGCATTTCAAATGTATTTCTCATAAACCTTCCATTACTGTTTTTTGCATTTGTTTCTGTGTGGAAAAAACTGAAAAGCTTCTGCCTTGAGTTTATGTGGCTTTAATTCTGAGTATATCTCAGTATGCCTTGTAGCTTTCCCTTCTGTTCTTCCAACTGAGTAGCCATTCAGTAAAGAGTCAGATACTAGCAGTACTTAGCTTGTTGTTCCTCTAAAGTAGGCAATTCACATTTTCATTTTTCTGCATTCTGTTTCATTTATGAATTTGCTACTGGACTTTTCCTCAGCTGGACATTGTCCTCCACATCAGGTGCAATTCTTCAGGTTGGCTAGATATGTTTCTGTAACTGGTTTTACTACACACAAGGTGTTTGCACTAGCAGCACACTGAAAAGCTGGGATGGAAGCAAATGCTCATTTGAAAATCCAGTGCTTGGACTAGCAATAGGTTTGGGTGAGACTCTACCTCATTTAGCCATCACAGTAATCCCAGCAGTGTCCCCAGCAGAGTCTTGTCTTACGACAAAGCTGCACTGGGACTTGGTGACATCCAGCAAGCTGAGGGAAGGAGAGGTGTGGCTCAAGGCACAGGAAACTGAGTGGAAGAGTTTTCTGCTACTGCACAGCCACGATTTGACAGAGGTGATGTTGTGTGTGTGCGCCTGAGTGCACGTGCACAGAGTTGTCTGTCCAGTGGCTGGGAGGACACACAAGAATAGCCTGTGGCTCACAGTCAGGACCGGTTGAAGCTTGTCTCCCACAAACACAGCATTAAAAAGTTTTGCATCACATCTTAAGACCCTAACCCTAATGCTCAGGCATGGCTTTTATGTGTAAATTTTAATTATTGGTCTCTAGTGTTGATTATTTTTTTATAAGAGCTGTGCCCAAGTATCTGCTTATGTGGCCATGAGCAACTTAGTGCTTGCTGTGACTGTATTTTTGATAGTGTGTGTTTAATTATACCCTTCCTGGGTTTGGACTAATTTGGCAAAGAAGGATCTTCTCTTGCTCAGCTGGTTTTTGCTGGTCTTTTACTCTTTGGCCACAAAACACACACTTCTATACAGTATCTGCATAACTGGGCAGAAGGGGATGTTGTTTTTATGGACTCTATCTCTCTGTTTCTGCCTGTCCTAATTATTTTTGTCCATAGGCTTAGAAAACTAGAATTTCTTTAGTCTCAAGTGGTAGTCAAAAATGTTACTTTGTTGAGGCAAATCTTTCTTGTTGTTCAGTAGTTCATCCCCATGTGTTTTCTCCTTTATTTGGCTCATGGCCAAGTCTCTTAGCCATGTCATACCTACCTAAAGCCCCACTTGTTGTCTTACCAACCTTAAGTCTTCCCTATTTTTTCAATTCTTTATATTGATGCATTTAAAAACAAGACTCTGCTTTCACCTTTAAGTGCCATGTGAAGGAAGAGTTCAGTTTTTTGCTATATGTGAATTTTTGGATGGGAAGACCTCACAGCTGATACAAATTCTGGGAATATTTTGGGTTGAGGAAAAAATGTTTTTTTCCTGTAGCTAATCAAATCTCTGCTGTTTGGATAGGATGGGAGATGCAGGCTTTAGAGTGACAGATCAGTGTGACTTTGTTTGCTGGACAAAGGTTTCAAGTTCAAACTTTGAGGGGATGTAGTGAGATAGCCTGAGAGGGCACAAGCCCAAAGTTCCCTTGACAAAGGTAGGCTTAGTATAATTGTACTGCACATTTTGCACCTATTAATGTACTCGGCATCAGCTCAGTGAAGATTTTATTGATAAGATGGAAGTGGAAACAACTTCAGCCTTTGCAGACCATCTTTGCAGAGTGTTTTTTGTCCCATCCTGGCTCCTTACACATTTTCATGTATGAGTAAAGGTGAGAAAATGGTGCAGATGGATGCTGCTTCTGTTCCATGGGTGGAGGCAATACCTGGAATGGATCTTGAGTAGTGTCCACAAAGAGCAGCAGCTACAGCCACCTTTCAGCTCCCCCCAGAGAGCAATCCTGCTCCTCACAGTAACCCAGGGACAGCTAAAGGCAACAGGAGTGGAGAGGTACCTGTGTGTGCATGTGTGGGCACACGTGTGTTCTCCTGCAATCTCAAGTGGTGAGCCTCAAGAAGCTTTCCAGGTTAGCCAGTGTTTCACTCCCCTGGCCTCTCCATGTGCATCATTTTTTGTTCCAGCTTCATCTCCCCCAGCTCACAATCTGTCTGTCATGACTCACACACTCGCTGGCTTTGATTTAGACTCCCATCTGCTTTCTCAGCCAGTCACATCCCAGTTCTTCTGTAACACACTGTAGGAGAAGTGTGGGACTGGAGCAGAGCATGTCTCTGCATTCAGGAGAGAGGAGGGGGAGGTGTGCTGACTCCAGCCTCAAAGTTTCTCCTTGTCTCATCTGTCTCAGTGGAAGCCTGTGCTTAAGCTGTAAAATATAAGCCTGCAGAGTAAGGCTGGGGATGACTTGGAGAAACTCATCCTTCTTGGGTGTGCCTGCACTCTCAGACCACATTTGGTCTCAGTGTTGTCACTCACTGAATATTTACGCTTTTGTAAAAGGAATGTCCTTTCTCCTCTGCTTATATAATGGACTATCACAATTCCCTGAGGGGAAAAAAAAAAAAAGAAGCAGCAGTTGTTTTGCCTCTTCCCTGCAGGCAGCAGAAGGTGACACAAAGGTAGTGGGGAGGCCGTGCTGATGCCTGGCAGACACAAAGGTGCCCCTCTGGTGGAGCCAAGCAGCTGTTGTGTGCAAGGGACTTGCCCTCAGATCACCACTGTCTCCTCACAAGGACTGGCTGGCTCCTGGAGCACATCATTAAGGCAGGAAAGGCTGTCCCCAGTTAGCTTATCAAGGGTGATCTTGTGCCTGAAACAGAACAGACCTGGTGGGCTCTGAACTCCAGACAGCAGGAATAAATTTCTCTCTCTGCAAGAGACTAGCAGGGAAGATTTCCTTTTACTGTAAGCTTGTCACAGACTCTCCCACCCATAAGCATCATCAGAGAGCAATTGGTGCAAGGTCAATCCTTGGAATTAAAGCCAGGAGGGAATTTTCCTTTAGTGACTGGGTTAGAAGTAATGGTATTTTTGACTTGCTCCTGAGACAGCTTATGGAAAAGCATGTATTAAAGTAGAACTGGTCACTCTAAGTTAGATAATGCTTTACTAATATCAGGCAGGGGAATGAGATTACCCTCAAGAACGTATTTTCAGAGCCTGGATTTCTTCTCTGTTGCTGATACGTGGAAACACATCTAATAGACTGCTTGGGGCTGTATCTAAGAGGTATGAGACACCAAAAATATGGTAGAAAACTATGTAGACTGTTGGAAGAAGGTGCAGAATACACAGAATTTGGTTTTGCCTGTTTACTGAGAAAACCTCACAAGAGCAGTGAATTAAACAAAGCAGCACCTTACCTTTGGATGCCAAGGTTTTGCATGCATGACACGAACTGACAAGACGTCTTTTTGCAAGACGCAAATCTGCTCCAGATTTAGAACTGGAATAGAGAGGGATGCTGCAGACAAGGGTTGAGGTCTCTGCTGTTAGTCACAACAGAGACAAGCTGGCAAAAGTGAGAGCTGGAATTCTCAGATCTGAGGTATGCAGAAATATGTGGAAAGTAGGCAGGGTAGAATTACCAGAAAAAGAGAGCAAGAGTTTTCAGAAAGAAACCTGTTTTCAAAGTGTAGAAAATTTGTCTTTCCTCTGCTGTATTTCTTGGCAGCCTGCTAACACCCATAATTATTTTTTTTTCTTGAGTTCTTATTTTTTAAGACTATAACTGTGGAAAATTGTGAACAGTGATTCAGAGAGACAAACAGTTTTTTGAAATATAGGTACATACATGCTGTTTTACTCCTCTTCCCCCAGCACTGAGGATGCCCTCACTTAAGATTTTCCCATTCTGTTTTAAAATTTCAGAGATGATGGGAAAACAAAGAAGCTTTTTTCCGGAACTTCCAGTGTTTTCGAAAGCCTTGGCTGAATTCAAGACATGAGACACACACCAGATACTTTCCTCCCATCTGTTTTTAGGGCATGGCTCAGCTATAGGACAGAGGAGAAGCTCCTAACTGCATCCCCATCCAGGAAAATCCCAGAGTAAAAATTGAGAAAGAATTAAAATGTTCTACATGGGAATGTTTGGGGGGGTGCAAGATAACAGCCAGTGAAAAGGAGCTGCTGCAGCATGGACAGGGTGGCGGTCAGAAGCAGCAGTATGCTTCTAGGCTGGAGGTCTGGCTGTGGTACACTGCTGCATGCAGGCCTGGTGTGGCTGGAAGGATGGCACCAGTGGTGAGTGAAAGCTGATCCTCCTTCCCTTTCCACATGGCAGATTGACCCAGGGCATCCTGGCTGTGTCAGCAGTATCCATGTCCTGTTACAGTGTGCTCTGCCTGCACTCAGGCTCCTTCAGTCCACATCTGACACCTGCACACGCCCCAATAGTCCAGCAGCCCAACAGCCTGCCCAGAGGGAAAGCATCAGAAGAAAGGGTCAGTCTGATGTCCCTCCTCCCAGCTGAATCGTTCCTCTGTGGGGATTGCAAAGAACATCCAAAAGCTTCTCCTGGAGGAGCAAACACAAGAAGACTGGCTCACTGAAGAGTGTGATGGACTGCTACCCTCACACCAGCTATAAGGGAACATCCTCATCCTCATCATCATCTTCATCCAGGTCAGTGGTACGTAAGTTTATGTCTTTGAGGATGTCTGAGATGTTTTCAGCAACTCGCCCTGTCAGCTCCATCTCTTCCAACTCGGTATCCGTGGCATAAGCGGAGCTGGGGACTTCCCCCTCTTCCTGTGAGTGTGAGGGCTGGGGGGAGTGTGAGCAGGGGGGCAGAGGGCTCTCAGTGCCCAGGTTTGCTGCCTCCTCTGCTGCCACCGTGCCGTTGTCCTCCCGGCCCCACGCCTGCGCGCCCTGCCCGGCCTTGGTGGTGATGGAAGTCCGGCTGATGTCACGGAAACTGGCAAGGGGAGGTCGGAGACGGACCCCAGAGCGGGTGGAACCCTCTATTGCCTTCTGGAGCTGAAAAAAGAGAAACACTTCAGAAATAAAAAACGTGAAAGGGAGGCCGGCCCAGCCCTACCCAGCAGAAGTTCATCTACTCCCTGGGGTAAAGGGATCACAAATAGAGTCACAGCTCTGCCTCTGGGGCCGGTGGAGATAATATTTTACATTGGTGATGTCATGAAAAATTCCGTGGTAAACAACAAATTCCACACATCTTTCAGAAACAGTAATAGCCACTCAGTTAAGAGTGGCTATTAAGCCTGCACTCATGCAAAAGATGAACCTGTTAACATCCCTGTAAACAGCACCTGCTGCCTCCTCTGAAATGCAGTCATCCATTCCTTTACGTGGCTTCCAAATAGCAGACTCAGAATTCAACACCGGACTGAAAATGTAGCAATTGCGGTTATATATATTCCCAGCTGGAACCTGCAGCACCTGTGAGTTACTGCAGTGATCCACAGGACACTTGCCGTTATTTAAGAGGATGGCAGAGGATGTGTACTCACCTCTTCCAAAGCCAGCACTCCCCTCAGCTTCCCCATGCTGGTTACGTAGGCATGGCTGAGGCCCAACAGTGAGAACAGTGTGTGTGTCTAGGAGAAAAACCACAAAAGACCATCTCAGGGGTTTTGGAAATGGGCAGCACAGAACTTGGTGCTAGAGCTGGGACTCAGGATTTAGAAATGGCATATCACAAAGACACAAAACTGTGCAGTTATCCCAGTGAGAAATTACATCTTCCCTTCTTGCCCTTTTGCATCTGCCAAATACTGCTCTTTGCTCCTTCTGCTGTGCAGGTGTAGTTGGGACTGTGCTGATGATGGAGAGCACATTCTCAAGGTCATTCTAGTCCTGCAGCTGGTGGAGATTCACATACAACCCCCTGCTGTGCATTTGGAGACCTGTGAAGATCCTGTTTCTTTTTGGTGCTGGAAACTGAACTACCGTATAGTAATATGTACAGTCGAAAGCTGCTTAGGTTATTTATTGCAGTGCTTTCCTTATCAATGGAGGATTTCTTTTTTCCTGTCCCAGAATATTTTCTGTGAAAGCTTAAGCTTGTTGCTGCTCATCCAGTGCAGTGAGAACACTGAGAACAAGTTATTCCCTTTCTCTTACAAAGTCTCCTTGAAAGGACAGATATCACACTGCTATCTGTCTTCTTTTCTTCAGCCTAAATATACCCCATTATTTTACTATTATTCACAGATCTGAGTTTCTAAAACTTTCCACTTTCTCAGTCCTCATCTCTGGTATATTCCCAACCTCCAGGTTCTTGAAGCTGAGCTCTAGCTGGACTTTACCTGTGGCCTTTACCATGAAATCATTCTGTCATAGCTAGTGTTTGACCTTTATTTTTAGCATCATATGAGAAACTGAATGTCATGTTCAAGTGTAAACTAGGAAAAATCTGATTTCTCAAGAACAAGACATTTTACTCTAAAGTAAAAGAAAACCAAAGAAAAGAAAACATGGTTAATATAGCTTGGTCATGATAAATTGTGGTATTCTTTTCATTGTCAGTAGTCTCACATTTAGCTCTAACTATGCATATTTCACATAGTTTGATTATTTATATTTATTCCTGGGTAGTTTTTTGTTTGTGTTTTTTGGGTTTTTTTTTTGGTTTTTTGGGTTTTTTTGGTGCGTCCAAGTTAAGTTGATTTGTCTGTTATTTCAGAGTTTCTCACTTGCTCTTTTGTATGACACGTACAAAACTTTCCCCATGATCAGCCTTCAAGTGTATTTCTTTTGTAATCCTATCTTCTCAAAGATAAATGCTAGTGGATTTCAGATTACTTCACCTACCCCTTCAGAAAACTCATCTGAACTATATGCTAGCCTATTCTTGTTTTGCTCAAGGCTGAGATCTTAACAGTAATTAATTAATTTAGTACAAGGCCTATGCTAACCATTCACATTAAATATTGATAAAAGCAGGCACTGTGCACTTCTGCTTCAGTAGACTGCTTTCCCTTTCCACTGAGTGAAAGCCCAGTCCTACCTTCCTCTTGACATACAATGATTGCTTTACTCCCCAGTCATCCTATGCTGACTCTAGATGCTGCATGATCCAGCTTCCTCTTTCCTTGTGCTTCAGTTCCATGAAGAGCCTGTGACACAGGCAGACTCTGCACCCTGAGTAGAGAGTTTCTGAAACCCTCTGAGAAACACCCTGAGAAATCGAGGAGTGCTCATTCCAGTGCTGCACACTGACAGGGCAGATTGTCAATCTCAGTGTAATGACCCAGCAGCAAAGCACACAATGCTGCTGTTAATGTAGCAGATTATTTTTGTCCAAAAGCTTTTTAAATAAATGGACTCAGACTTCTTATCACAAAGGCTTTCATTTTGCAGGAGATTAGAGATACACAGAGAAGATTACAGGAACAAGCTCACTTCTGTAGCTCGATGTGAAAGTGGCTGGTTATAGTAGTTGTAGGTGAAGACAAGGAGAAGAAATAAGTCATAAACTGCACTTGGAATGAGTGGAGAAAAGTGATGTATGCCTCAGGGAGACATCTGCACTCACCTTGTGCAGGGAGGTTCTCTCCACCAGTTGGAAAGGGGAGGGATCTACGCGGCAGCTGTCAAAGCACACGTTCTTGTCCAGCTCCTCCTGTTCCCAGGCATCTATCTGACACAGGAAAGAAGGGGAGTCACTCTTACAGCTACCTGCAGCATTGCTGTCTTGTGTACCCAAACTAGTCCCCTCCTGTTAGTGCTTCTTCCTTCCAATGTACAGCATTCATCTTTTCTGTAATATCTCACCCCTCAGGTTTCCTGTCCCTTTCTTGCCAGATGTCAAGTCCCTGTGGAAACAGGGTAATTCAGAGATTTTCTGAGAAGACGGGGCTTTGTTTTTTCCTTCTTAAAGAGGGAGTGAACATCTTTAGCTTTCCTTTCTGAGTACATCTTCCCCTTGTTGTTGCAAGATAATTGATCCATTGTGTAAGAAATGAAGGAACAACATGGGCCAACAGAAGGATTTAGATGAGGGGGCACCTGTGGAGGCCTCTAGTCCAAAACCCTGCTCCAGCAGGGCTGACTTCAAAGCTAGATCAGATTAGTCAGAGTCTTACCAGCACATCTAGCCAATCTCTTCTCTTATGGGTGAGACTTGCCCACTGTGCCACTCCAAGAAGAAATTTACTTTGGCTATAGCTTTATCTGCCAGTCACTGAGGTTCCTGGAGTATTGCAAGTGATAGGAAATGGGTACAAGGAGCACTCACATGACCTCACTCTTTTTCTGCACCTCATCTTACCTCTTCTGGTGTCATTGTCTCAATGACTTCCACTGGCTCCTGTAAGAGAAAACACTCTTCAGGACAGCCAAAGAACCCACAGTTTCACAGAGTACAGGCAGGGAAAATCTGCACAGCCTCCTCACCCCATGTGGTCCCCTTTTTGTTCCAAATGGTGTATTAGATTTTCCAAGTGCTTAGATTTTCTTTATACTCATCCATTATATGGTGTATTCTGCCCTTGCTGTGCTTCCCTTGCCAATGACAGTTCACCATGGAGTTCTGCTGGAGCAATTCAGGTGCCTAAACATGGCCATCTAATACTGATTTAGATGCTCTCAGGATATCCCACATAGGGTCCAACCACTGTCCTGGAGTGGATGGGTCTCCCATAAGCTCTGTCTGTTATCCCCAAACCCTGTGCAGATGTGTCAGATAACCAAGGGCAAGTTTAACATGGCAAGAGCCAAAAGCTTTTTTTTTTTCATTTTTCTCCATCTGTCCAAAACTGTTTGCCAAATGGAATAGAACTGCATTTTATTGCATGTTAGCCAAAATATCTTTTTTTTTTCACAGAGAAAAGATGTCCAAACTCAATCATGATGGTAGCCTGAGACCTGAGCACAGGCGACTCTTTAGGAAGATGCACACTCCTTTACAGTAATCACACCCTTTCTCCTTGGAGGGAGTTCCCCACTGATGCTGTCAGAGTTCAGGACCATATCTGTGTCCATGCCTTAGCCAAATGCTGAATGTCTCAAGTTTCTAGTTCCATTGCATTCCCTTCCCTCTTTGGGGTACTACCAGGCTCTGTGTAGCCCTAACCTGGATGGTGCTCTCTGTTTCCTGTGGACGGCTGCAATGGCACAAGAGCTGCTGGATCAGTTTCCTCAGACTCCTGAAACTGCCTGAAGGATGAGAACAAACACGTGGATAAGAGAGAAGAACAAGTGAGAGACAAAAATACAAAGCCCCACACCTAATGCATCCTCTTAGCCAAGGCAGGCTGGGAAATGCTGAGGGACATGATAGAGCTGGGCTGGTCAAAATCTGGCATTCAGTTTGTAAGATGGTGTCTGGGACATTCCAGAAAGAATATTACCATGCAACAAAACATTTCAACAAACTGGATGTGACAGGTGCCAAGGGGTGAGGAGTCCATGCGTTCTGCCAGAAGTGGAATGATGGGAATAGAAAAGATCAGAATTATACTCCCAGCCAAGGAGTAAGCAAAGAGGAGGATACAGGGCCTGGTGCTGTTGTGAGCAAGGCTGTGGAGGAAGTTTGGTCAGAAACAGTGATAGCTGTGAGCCAAACTAAAAAAAGAAAAGCAAGGTCTCATGAATTCATTCCTGTTCCACTTCCTTTGTCATTCCTGGGTCACCCAGTTCTAGTTTCATGTAAAATGTTTCACACACTGTCCTTGTTTTCATTTGTGGTTCTTTTTCTGCTTTGGTAGGATAGGTGGATGGCTACCCCACCACTTCCCTGCTCTAGAAGCATAAAGTGGATTTTTCTATGCCTTAAAGGTTTAGTCACACATGAGGGGTGTTAATGAACCAGAATGTGCTATATGCTCTAGTACATGTAATGCTTAGGTGCCTAAAAGCATGAGCTAAAGCCCTATCCTCTGTACTCATTCTCAAGACTGGGCTACATCACTGTGCTTACTCACTCTTTGCATATTTCAGGATGCATAAAGGATAAAACAACCCACCATCCTGCATCACATATACATGAAAAATAAATCAGCAATGAGCTATGAGTACAGTCTTAAAAGCAAAGCTAATACAGAGCTGGGTGTGACACAGAAGAGCACAATACATCAATGTTTGTCCATCACATTGATGCAGCTGAATCAAAGAGATGTGTGTCCAAGGGAGGAGCCTTTCAGTTTTGGAGATGGCTGAGTAACAGCCTAAGCTACTCAAAAACTTAGTGCAAAACATGTTTAGCTCTCAGGCTGCTTTCCCCAGGGAGATTCACTCACGTAGTGAAGGAGCCAAAGATGGGACTATTCTATGCAGACTCTACAGAAAATGTCCAAGGAGGTGTTATTGCAAAGAATGGAGTGGGGAGACAGAGAGAGTCCATCCTTAGTGGGCCTAATTATTCCATGCTGCCTGAGCGATCACAAAAGAAGGTATCTCCCAGTACATGACACTGATGTTGGGGTGCACTAACAAAGTGTCCTTCAGGAACAGCAGAGAAAGCTCCTCCTCAGTCTCTGGGAAGCGAGCCCCTCACACAGGCAGATACACACAGCTTCCCCAAGCTGGCTAGGATGTGGTTGAGCCATGACAGAAGTTACCATACCTGGATGCTGCTGGGGCTCCAAGGTCTCAGGCATTTGTTTAAGAGGACTTGTTGGGCCATTTGGCTCCTCTGGGTAACTGGGAGTGGGACTTGGAGGCCGAGGCAGCTGTTACAGAAAGGAGAGAAAATAAAGTCCACCTTGTGCCCTCTATTTCTCAGCCTCCCCAAATGCCTAACTACTTCCAAGCAGTCTCTATGTTGCAGTCTGTCCACTTCCCTCCCTCACCTCTCCCTTCTCTGCATCCTCATCCTCATCGACATAAGCAAAAGATTCGTGCTTCAGCTTGGGCAGGTTTGCCCAGGGTCCACCGTAGGGTGCCTCGTTCAGCTTCTGCTGCCTTTCTCTGTTGAGGAGCCGCCGCCGCTCTGGGCTGATGTGTGCCTGGAGGAGAGCCTGCAGCTCCGACCGCTCCACGGACCCCAGCAGGATCATGGACTCTGCGCAACACAGAGCAGGGAAGCCATTAAACCACCTCCAGGTTTTGAAGTTCCCCTTCCACACATCACCCCTTCTTCCTTCCAGCCCCTTCTAGGTGCTCAGGCTTGTACTATCTAGAGCTGTACCAGAGTGACTGACCTGCCTTGTGGTGGCTCCTAGGCTGTGGGGCTGTGGGAAGGGACCTTGCTGTCCTGAGCTGTGCCACCCCACACATGCTCTTGGCTCATGCAGGATCCCAGGAGGGCCCTGTTGTCACAGTTCAGTCTGGAGACTTCCCACACACCTCCCTTATGTGCTGGATCTGCTTCACTGCCCACACTCCAGCTTCCCTGTCTGGCCAGCTGAAATAGCCATCTGCCATACATCATCCACAGTGGGAGATTTTTAGGACTTTTTTTAATGTGGTGGGTCACACTGCCTGCTTCACACCATGTAATTTGAAAGCTATTTTCTCCAAGCTGAGACAGTCTTCAGGAAGGACCAGTTTCTCCACATTGCCTACCTGGTGAGTCCACCAAAGGCAAAGATTTCACTGTGGTGCTTTGGAGTACCTCTTGCAAGTCTCGGTATTTACAGTTGGAGGAAACAAATTTCACATCTTGGACCATAATATCCTCAACAAAGATATTGTATTTGCTGCGCATTTGGGGTGAATAAGAGGAAGAGTTAGCATATTAAAATGCCAAGCACATAAATTCTCTAAAGAAATACCCAAATGACTACTTTTTTAAAAAGTGCTCAAAATACAGCTGCCAAATATCTTCTGTGAGAGTAACCAGAGGACTTTCCAAGAGGATAATTACAGATTAACTGGATTTCCATTACAGTTGTATTTCACTCCGTTACCCCTCCCCATAACATACACACATGCAAACATGTGTGTATAGATGGTTTTTATATACATACCCATGTGTATGATATATACTAGAGAGGGGAAGATGTTTATAGGAAAAACTGAGTTTTGCTTCAAGCAAAATATCCAAATAAAGTATTTCAAACATTTGCTCATTTGCTGAGGAAAAATATCCAAACCCCACTGAATTTAGATAAATGAGACTCCTGAATTTTAAATTTTTAAGATGAAGCAACTTGGAAGTATTAATACAAATTCAGTAACATTGCAGGTCATTCAAACTTGTGCTTTCAGTGAAAAAAAGAAGAGGACTTTTTGTGTATGAAACCTAATTCTACCCCAACACTTGTTTTTTTCTTACTGCAGGCCTTCTTAATTCCTTTGTAGTACTGGAGCCTTTTCATAACCTTTTATTCCCCTGTGGTCTTAACCTCTCCTGCTTTATTTTCTTCCCTGTTTTGCTACTATACCTTATGTGATTCCAGCCCAGGTCTGGCAGGTAGGGCAACTTCTTCACCTGGATGATGCTATCGTAGAGGCTGGGCTGCAAACTCTGGGCCACCATGTTGGCAAGGATGACAGCCACCATCATGGGCAGGATGTGAGAGATCTGACCCGTCAGCTCGAAGCAGATGACAGCAGTGGAGACAGTGTGACTCACCGCTCCTGTCAAAGCTGCTGCACCTTTCCCAGGTAGGAGAAGGAATAGGGAGAGAAGAAGACTGTCATATAGAAACAGCATGTCATGTCAACCAGGAAAATTACAGCAGTGGGACCAGGTGAGGAAAAAGGAAGGTGTGGAGGCTCACCAATGACAGCATACCCTCCAGGTAAGATTTGGTAGAGAATGTCGTCAAAGAGGATCCCGTTGGGAAAAAGCGATGCCATGATTTCCCCAATGAGACGTCCAAATGCAGCACCTGAAAAATATCACTGACAGTTATGGAGTTAACATTTAAAGAACATCCAGTCTGTGTTGTGCAAGCACTTGGATATTTTCTTACAGAAACGAAGCCTAAACTTACATTATAATGACATTGGTAACTGAAGAGTAGTTCTCAGTTACAAAATACAGAAGTTAGACTAAAAGAGGAAAAAAGGGTACTAAGATTGGTAAATACAGTTGACCCCTCATTCATTCCCTTGGGCACACCAGGCACAGCAGTAGCTGTGATTCCCAGGCTGGAGGGCATATTTTCAGGCTGTGTACAATGTCAGTCCAGATCACAGTTACAGCCCTTTAGACTCTCATACTGTGAATGTCTAAGCATTAGAATCCCAGCTCACAGAAGAGTTTTTGTGGGAGGGGACTTCAGGAGGTCTTGTTCTGACCCCTGCACAGAAAAGGGCTGATTTCAAAGTGAGATGTAGTACCCATGTCTTGTTCAGACAGGTTACAAGTCTGCAAGGATCTCTTGGACTGGTGGACACAAAACAGCACAGTGTTCCAGAACTGTATCCAAAATGCTGAATGCATAGAAACAATTTCTTTGCATTGCTGTCTAGGTCTTTTCCTAATACAACCCTGATGTTGGTTAGCCTTCATCACTGCAAGGGCATGGTTACTGCTTCATGTTCAGTAGCTGCCTGCCAGAACTCAGAGGTCCTTAGAGCACCCTATTTCATTTGAGAGTTATGGGTACTGAATGCTGAACGTCATGAGCTTGTATAGCTCAGTCTAACGTAGCCTCTCTTTCTAGACATTAACATCACATTATTGTGATTTTTTTGTTGTTATTGGAATTAAAACCAGTTAAAAGTCAATAAACTTTTTATGCTATCACATTTCAATCAGAAGAAAGGAGTTAGATTACATTGCAGGTACTAGTTTTGAGGTTATCTCTTCTGGCTGGCTTTCAAGGGTGAAAGGAGCAGCTACTATTAATTATAGGATATAAGTGAAGAGGCATAGAGATAAGAAGGCCGTGGCTCAGCATGTGTCCCCAAGTGTGGCCTTCCTTATGGAAAAGGGTGGGGATTACCTACTTGGCATTTGGTTTTGGGGGGTTGAGGAAATGTCAAAAGCAGACCCCGAGGCTGGTCTATGGACTGCTAATCAGGTTGTCATTGACAGCAAGTGATGACTCCTCATATGCTAGATGAACCCTGCTGGGTGTGTAGGCAGTGTCTCTCCTATTCTCTCCCCCGTCAGATGAATGTGCTGCAAAACAAAATTGAAACTCACCTAATACGAAAACAGGCATGAAGCCTCCACAGGGGATTGGCATCGTGGTGGCAATAACAGCCATGCAGAACTAGAACAGAGGCAGAGGGTACAGTTGTTACTGAGCAGCAGTAGCATTTCCTGCTGCCCCACTCTGTGCCCAGCCTGGCTACAGAGACCAGAAGGCTGTGGAGGTGTAGTACTGCTAACTGAGCACTATCTTTGCAGTACCAAACCTGGCCAAATACAGCTGAAAACTGATTATACTTCAGTGGAGAATCAGGCCAGGCCTTTGCCCAGAGTCATAATAGCAGTTTCTTGTTTATGTGGTCTATCCCAATGCTGAATTTATCCAGAAGAAAATCAAGAGCATCTTATCTAGTGAGTAGAGAAAGCCTTTAGTTAGCAGGACAATGCCAATGAATCTAGTGACTCAGGGTACAGCTCCTCCAAAGGCAAACAGATGGACTCAGGACCGACATACCCTGTAGTCCACTCCTCTTCTCCTCTCCTCTTTTCTTCAAGTAAACAAGACCTTTTCTGCTTGGTACACTGTAATAAGAATTATCACAGAAGGAGAACCCTTAACTACCTGTCAGAAATTGATAGAGTGTTTTACTTTAGGTGGAAACAATTCTGTCAATCATTCATTGATAGCTGTTCTTGATCTACCGAAATTTTCAACTGACATTGCAAGGTGGCCTCAGCTCTTCTTCCCCTTTGCAATAAGTAAATAATAAAAGAATTAGCACTTATTCTATGATATTTTTAAATCTATCTATCTATCTATCTATCTATCTATCTATCTATCTATCTATCTTTCATCTTAGGAAAACCTCCTTCTTGCTACTTTTGTTTTGAACATTGGAATGATGTTTCCTTCTTTCAAGTGTCTTTTTTTTTTTTTTGCTCTGTCCTATGCCAATTACACAGCTGATCCTTTCAAGGCTGAACAGTTGCAACTTCCACAGATGATGTCAGCTCAGAATTTTTAATCTGCTGTTGCTGTCTGGGATGTGAGCAAAACTGTTTCCAACTGCAGTTCTCCATCAAGTTTTGATGGACTGCTAACAAATCCTTGAGTCTCACACAGCTATAGATTGTGCTTGCATATTCCTATTTGTCTCCTATATGAAGTCAGGAATATCAAATAGACTGTATTTAGACCTCATTTAGATAAAACATAAATTATCTGAGAGCTTTTTATTCAAGTATTTATTCTGTTGGAAATTGAGAAATCTTTCCTGATTTAGTTTTCCCTACCAGCTACTCCACAGTGGACACCAAAGGTCATTCAGCAGGATGCATGAGGAGAATGACCTAGGGAGCAGAAAAGGTCACTATATTAAGGAAACTATTCCCTAATAATTTTGGTCATTCAAGGTGGACAAACATCACATCAGAAGATGTAGGAATCCATTGCAGCTGTAGTGCTTCATTCAATACCCAGGAGCTCCTCATTGGTGTTTCACAAACTGCTTTACAGAAGGGAAGGACATTCAAAGGACATTGAGTCTGAGTGGAGAAGGGCTATGGTGAGCTGGGCTTCCTACCTTCACGAGGAAGAAGAGCAGGATGGTGACAAAGACGCTGACTTTAGGATGGATCCAGGCAGCAGATTTCCCTAGGATCTGGGTGTCCCCAGAGTGTTTGATCCAGGTATAGTTATCAAAGAGAGTGCTGATGGCTTCCCGTGGCATCAACTAAACAGCAAAAAAACAGGTATGAGTCATGAGATCAGATGGAGTAAATATTTTATCTCTATTGCAAGGAAGTGGAGGAGATTTTTACTGTAGGAATTCATGACTGTGAGACTTAATTCACATTTCTAATCTGCAGGAAGAGAGACAGAACTTTACTCAACAGGTGAAGAGAAAATTACTTTTACACACAGGGTAACATCTCCCTTATTATTTGCTTAGAGGAGTGGATAATTACTTTTACACATGGGGTAACATCTTTCTTATTATTTGCTTAGAAGAGTGCACCTTTTCAAGTTTTCTATGAAAGAGGTAGCAGAGATCATATAGTGCCTCCTCAGTCCAAACTCCTCCCATATTGTTCTTCCCTTTTCCCTGACACAAGGTTATTGGGGCAGAGGATAAGGAGATAACGTTCCAAAGAACTGCACAAACTGATAATAAGGTTTCCAGTCTCACCTCTCCCGCCATGAACTGCCCAAATCCGTGAGGAAACGTCACAGACGCTATACAGAAGGTTATAACCGCAGGGTATATCAGTCGGCTGCAAAGGAAGAAAGTTATTACAATGTGGCCTCACATTCTGTTCTTGCAGCACCATCACTTCAGGACTAGGAATGCTATTTCTGTGAAGCTCTCTGTATTTGTATCCATTGTTTTGGAGTGCTGTTAGCAGCAGTTTAATGCCCTGCTCCACTGTGACACTTCCCAAGCACTGAGACAACATGAGCCTAAACTGCTTCCCCATGCTGGACTAATCCTGTCATGAGTCCCTTGGCAAGTTACTGTTTCCTACAGGAAGCATTGGCTGAGATTTGGGAAGACAAAATATAACCTTTAATTTGATTCAGTCTAAGGACCTAAAAATTTTTGATAAATTAGTGAAAAGTAATTTCCACTTTTCAGGCTTTGCTCTACTTCTGTATTAACTTGATTTGATAGCCCTGCAGCTGTTTGTGGGTAAGGCTACATGATGAGGAAAGACGTTTTTCCTTCCATGTAAGAAAGTAAGCTAATTTGAACTTCTGTTTATTTAGTGGTTTTCTTCTGGTCAGGCCTGTGAGTGGAAAAGAAATAAAGTCCTCCATGCCTCTCAACTTCAAAAATTCTCATAGTATCAGATCGTTTTCTGTAAAGAGACTGAAGACATTTACAGCTAGCCACCATTTCTTATCTTGTTCAATTTATGAACTTTGGAGGTTAGGACTCTGTTAGAGAGGGGAAAACAGTATCTTCAAGTGTCCTGTAAAAACTTTATTGTCAAACTTTTATTTCATTTTTTCATTTCTCTTCCATGCTGCATTCCACACCATTTGGTTACTATCAGTTTCAACTTTTGCTTGATAAGAATGGAGCACATTCCTTACATTTATGCCAACACTTTGATTAAAAACGAAATTACGTATTTTAAAAACATAGTTAGATTTCAGTTGTGTTTAATTTTCCTAAAATATAAATAATGTTGAATTTTTCACAGATCCTAAAAATCCCAAACAAACCAGAAATAGCATGATTTTAAAAAGCATGATCATTGACTTTCTAAATAAAAATATTTTCTGTCCAATTAATAGTTTGCCTTATCCTCTTAACAAATATTGCAGAGTCTCCCTTCCAAATCAAGAAGCTATTTGAAACTATGGAGGCTGAGCAAAAGGAAAATCCAGTGCAGGAAAAATACTCTTGATGTTTGCAGAGATCTTTCTCTCATACAGGAGCAGTTTCTCATATTTTTCATCTTACACATAAAATAGGTCTGCTGTCTTCCAGAAAGCATTTGCTACTATCCAGTACCAGTAGGGTGTAAGAATCTGGTCACTAAAGAGAATATCTTCACAAGTACTCACTATTTGGTGAGAAATTGGCTCAGGGCTTTATGACGTCGGATGCCCAGGACCACTTGGCGATTGAGATAAACAAAAAAGGCTCCAAGGAATCCAGAACATATGCTAAAACAGAGAAAAAGAAACAAAATCACGCCAAAAAACAGATAATACACAAACCATCAACCAAGAAAATGAGTTTAAGTGGTTTAATCTTCAGCTGCTCGTGAAGTCTTTTGAATGTCAGCTGGAGGGTTACTCCTGCAGCAGCTCATTTGAAGATATTGACTCCCTGATGAAAGAGGAGAAATTATCTTGGACCTTTGTCATGCATACTACCATTTTACCAATTCTCTCTTGCTAACAGGGGAAAATCTATAAAATACTTTATAAAAAGAGACTGACAGTTCTCAGTGGGGGCTCATGAAGAGCAACGGGGTGAAGAGCAATATTGTCAGAATTTAAGCATCAGGTTGGAACAGAAAATAGTAAAAATTAGGGGAGTTTTGAGTCTGATTCAGTAAAATTATACACCTACAACAATTACTAATAGTGATAGGAACTCTTATGCCTAAAGCAAAGTATATCATTTCTATGATCCTAATAACTTAGGCTTATGCTCCTGATTTTAATAAAGTAAGAAAAAAAGTGTAGTTGTCTAAGAATTGGTGTGATCCTTAGGCTCTGGAGCTTAATGAGACTTGGATAAATAGGGCCTAATACTTGAACATGAAAAGAAAAGGAAGAGTGAAAAAAGATTGCATTTAGAATTGGTAAGGGGAAGCTTTATTTTAGGTGGCAAGCAATCATCCACATAATACTGAGGATAAACAGTTAATATTTTCATTCTATTAATTTCTAAAATTAATGGACTTCTGCTTTGTTATATGTTATGCATGCTTTTGCCAAATCTCATTCAATGAATTATTCAGTATACTTAAAACATTGTATGTTGAAAATAATCCTGCTTTATCATTTAAAAATTGCAGAGAAACACATTTAAACTAAATATAAATATTTTCACAGACAAACATGTTCAATGAATTACTCTGCAATATTTTAAGCCAGCACTGATTAAAACAGTGTTTAAAATAGACCAGTCCCTTAGGCAATATAAGCCTAAAGACTGCACACTCAACTGAATTGCTCTATAATATTTTATATTAAAATGTAGGTCTCTCCATTCCTGTCTATCATTTTATCAATAAACAGGAAGTGCTCCTTCTGTACAAATTATGCAAATTAACATTTGGTGACACAGAAAAACAAGATCTACCCATTGATAGTGCTTGTCCCACCTGAAGGTGAAGAAATATGTTGGGTAGAAAGAATGTTCAACTTTGAGACTTGAGAGAATTTGGAGCATTCCAAGTTGGTAGACTTTATCCAAGACTATCCAAGCCTTTGGGGTTGTTTTTTATTTTAGAGACCACGCTGGACACCCAGGCATTTGAAAGCATTTTGCACTTGTCATATATTTATTTCCTAGCCTATGTGCAATGCTGAAAAAAGCCAGCTCTGTCAACTCTGTCCAAAACATAGTGACAAGAAGTTTTGTATTCTAACAACCAGCTGTAAAACCACAAGGATTATGTTTTTCCTTGCCAATCTAAACAAGTAGATTCCTCCAAGTTCATTAGGCAAGTCTGTTTAAGGGGAAAACAAAGTGAATACATGTTGCTAGCAAAAGCTCCTATGTATTCACAGATTTTTCAATATAGCTGATGTCTTTAAAAAACCCCACTTGATTTCATATTCAAGTAAATTAGTAGGAGAACAGCCTACTAAAATAGGCTGGAAAACCTCAGATGTATTTCTGGTCTTTGATGGAGGTCTTGCAAGAAAATATGTTCACAACACAAGAACAGGCGTTTGTTCCTACAGTATATTCCTTTCATTACTGCTCTGATTTCCCCGGAGCCTCCCTCAAGCTCTAACCACAGATTTTTGCCCACAGCAATTCCAAATTCATCTTTTCTCTAGTATTTCCCAATTTTCATTTTTCTTAAGCTTATTCTTTCATTTCCTCCAAATTAACCAAATTATTCTCATTGAATCTAATTACTGTTGATCACCCTTGTCACCATGTCAGGTGTACCAAGCTCTCTCAAAAAGGATAATCAGTCTGAGCTTGTGAAAAGCAAACTTCAGGTTAAACCTTTTGTTCCATCTTTGTCATGTGAAATGGCCATACTTGTTGGATCAGTTCATTTGGGGATAATATGAAAACAGTTAAAGGGCCATTCAGTAAATTTATTTCCAGAATTTTGACCAAGTTAGACTTACTTTTTTTCTTTTTCTTTTTTACCTCCAAGCTTAATTTCTGGAAAAGATACATGGAAAGGAAATAAAAAACATTTAAATAATACCCATTTTTCTTTCCTTAGCAATTGTGATACGTGGGCACCATTTCTGAAGGAAGAATTCCAACAAATAGAAGCCTTATTTGCCACAACCAAAGTGACTAAAAGTGATGTTCGTAACTTTTTGGCAGAAGAATTCCTTACACAGATCATATTCCAACCTTTGTAGAGCAAGGTAACAGTTTCCTGGGAACTCACCCTATTATAGCAAATGCTGGCAGCTCTTGCAGGTCAAAGGGGAAATCCATGCGGAAGTTTGTTCTGAACAGGGCTGTGATGGTAACTGTGAGAGAAGAAAGGTAGAGGAGGAAAGAAAATAATGAGGTGAGAAGTTAAACGCAATAAAAGCTAGGGCAGGGACAAGGAAACTTGTTTATACATGCTCCTGTGTGGTTTTCCTGTGTGTTTATATACATTATTACAGATTGGCAGACTGCTCTGATTTAGTAGGTTCTATTTCTGAGCACTTGCAACCCTAGCACTCTAGATGGTCTAGGTTTGCTTTCAGAGAATGTATGCATTATTTTTAGCAACAATCCCTGATTTTTACAGGGTTTTCTTTTCTTTATTGTCTCCTACCATCCATCCACTACAGGAAAAAAAAGCTCTTCCTGGTATCCTTACTGACTGAGAGGTCTCTTTGCTGAGGCAGGCAGTGCCTGCATAGCTGAGGAAGCTGTATCACTTCTTACAGTTGTTACTGCCTTCCAGAAACAAAACTCAGATATTCACTGAAGTTACAGCTTCAAAATTTTTGACTGGTACCAAAACTTAAAAATGAAAAGCTTAGAAATCAGAGATGTAAAAGATCAGCTAAGCCCCATGTTCTCCAGCTCACCCCTCCTGGTAGTGCTGCTCTGCTATAATGCAATATTCAAACCTCAGCCGCTTTTTTCTGGAGGTGCATTATTATGGGGAAGCAATAAACATCTGTATGCCAACAGGTGAAGGATAAATCAGCAATTTAATACAGAGTGGAAGTGCAGCTGAATGAGGAGGGCTATAAATCCCCCCTTGTCCTGGATGAAGGAATTATTTGTTCAATGAGGAAATAAAAGAAGCAGTGAAAATCTAGCATACGATAATAACAGGAAGAATTAAGTACTTTTTATTTGGTCAGACAGAACTAGGTTTAGAGTATTAATTAAATGAGGTCTCAGTGGATTATGTTACCTAAGATAGCTAAGCCTAAAACTGCATTCTACTATCCAAATTGGGAAGATCTTGCTCCCTGTCTCTTCCCCCTGCTCCTTCCCTCCTGGCTGTACTATTGTTCCCCTCTCCCATTGGGCCCACTCTGACACATCACAGCCTTCTGTGAGCTCCTTTGCCTCATTAAAACCTGCCAGAAATCCTATCTGCTCTTTCCCTGGATTACTCCTTTGCCAAGGAAGTAAGCTGAATTGAGGGGAACAACAGACCCAGGTGGCAACAGCGAGGGTTAGAAGAACACTCAGGGATGGAAGATGGTGAAAAGCAGGGTGCCTTCTCTTTTGTTAGATCAGCCCAAGAAAGGGATCATCTATCTCAATTCAGTTTTAGGAAATAGTCCATGCCACTAAATGGCAGAGCATTAAAAAGTATAGTGAACTCATTTTCAAAGAGTTTTGCTACAGAATGGCAAAGATGACCAGAGGAAAGGAAAACAGGCACAGCATTTAGTCTGGGTCTTTCTTAGTTTCATCTCTACTCCCACAGGTGAGAAAGAGATTTCCACAGAGAGATTCATCCCACCTGTCTACATCCTCTTTCCTGAGTGACTAAGCCATCCTGAAACTAAATGTCTAAGCCCTTTTTTCTCCATTGGCTACAAAATGTACCACTTTAGAGTATCTGTCCAATTCTTACAAGGCTGGAAGTAAAAAGGAATCGGAGAGTAGTTAATGTGAACATTTAAGTAAAAATAGATTTGAACTTTAAGATAACACTGAGCCATATACAGAAGGAACCAGAAGGAGCAGAAGGAAGGCAAGGCATGAAATCCTATGGCAAGTAAGATGAAAGCTGGGGACATGGTAAAACAGAAATCCTGCAAATTGCAGAACTCCGGCCTTCCATGACTTGCAAAGAGGAACTCAAGCTTCAGCAGCCAACCAGAGTGGTTGACAAATAACCAGAAGTTATTTGGAAAGTACAGATAACGGTGTAAGGCTAGCCAACAAAGCCATGAGTATCAAGAATCTAGCAAAGATTCTGTGGGTCTAAGAAATAAAAGAATTTTGGTGAGATGCTACACAACTTACTTGCATGTGTCATTCTGATGTGATCACTTCCCTACCTCATTCTTCCTGGTAGCAAGCATAATAGAACATGAACAGAGACTGAAAAGACTGGGTGTGTAACTTTTGAAGGGAAATAAATGAGCAAGAAAAGACATGAAAGGCAAGTTAGAGCAGATATGATAAAAGATCATAAAATAATGAATGACTTAGCTAGATAGAAGTTCCTAGTTCCTTAATACAAGGACAAGCAGACTGACAACACAAAGAAAATGCAGAACTGTGAAAAGGAATGATTTTTCATAGCCAGTTGAATCATGGAACTTTTTAACCTAGACAGTCAATGAAGAAGAACTTAAGGAGCCATTAATATAGGTACTAAAGCTGTCTGGATGATTTTGAAGAAGGGACAGGAGTCAAGATGATTCAGGATTAAGCTAATTTCTAGTGATTTGAGAGACCAAGAAGGGAATCAGAAAAGACAAAGTGAAGGACAGGGAATTATCTCTTGTTATCTGTCTTTGAGTTTCTTATATTTTTCTCTGGAAAGAACAGAAAGATAGGGGTTCTGTTTTTTTTGTGACAGACCCAATGGTTAAATACAGCTGACTTTTAGGCAGTGCTGTACAAAGAACAATGTAGTCACTTTCTACATTCAGGTAGAAAGTGTAGTCATTTTCTATATTTCAGAGAATATTCAAACCCCCCAAAAATCCAGCCCTCTGAAGTCAAGAGAGACATGTTGTAGCAGTTATAAATAAATAAACTGCCCACATGGAGCTCAATAAAATAGATGTAATTGTAAGAATAGAAGATAAAGGCATTATAAGGAAGAAGTTTACATAGAAATGGCAGCCTTCTGCACCAAAACTCTATTCCCACAGTGGTTGAGATGCTCTCCTGAACAAGCCTGACTTGTGCAATTTCTGTCTGCAACAAATGTCACTCTCATGCTTTTCAGTTATTTGAGACACTATTTTTTCAGGACCTTCAGTCAGATTCTACCAATCCTATACTCTCCTAATCATTCAATCATCTCAATTTTCTCGATTATCTGTTTTTAGTCAACAGATGACCAAAGCAGGCCATGAGTTTTCCAGCAAGGATTACATCCTGTGGGACAGGATATCTCTGTGTTGCAGCCTGGATGCTGTTCTGAGTAGAGGCAAAAAAAATCCCACCTCAGGGGGTCTTTTGCTTGCTGAGGACTCATATTCTGTCATTTATGAGTTAGATACACCCCAGCTCTCCTAGGAATAGGTTGGGCTAGACAGCTGACAAGATGGCAAGACACTTCCCTTTCTCCTTCCTTCTGTGCCATTGGAAGTCATGTGTTGTGGCAGAAGCTTCAAACATCATAAAAACATTGTGGTTTTGAGAAAGATGGAAAATAATGCATTAACAGAGCAACTTCTGTGCCAAGAGAGCAGGAACGGCTCTTAGCTTACCTGCATCCTTGTTCCAGACAGCCAGGACTCGGAACATGAAGGCACTAAAGGTGGCTGCAAAGAAGCCTCTCCAATAATTGCGCACAGCAAAGTAGGTGGAGGTGACCTCGATGCTGAAAAGAACTCCTAGAAAGAATTGGAAAGGGAGCAAAGTTAAAATAACAAGTGTCATGCTAGAAGCATGAGAGAGGGTTCTGAATAGCTCTCTAGAGCAGTGGTCTCCACATTTCTTTCATCATGCACCCCTGCCAATAAAAGGTTTTTGAGCATGTACCCTCCCCCCATATGTGTATTAATTTATTTAAAAATAATGCACATGTACTACTGTACTAAAATATTGTGTACAATATCAAACATGCACAAAAATAGAAAATAAGCAAGGATGAGATAAAGATGAAATAAACATAATTTTAAAATAATTTGTTTTATTTATTAATGGAACAAAAAATTTGTTCTCACTAAAATAGTAATATTCTTTATTTTCAAAAATCTGGGTTTAACACTTTGTAACACAGGGATTCAAAGGTCTGGTTCCATGTTCAATTATTTTGATACTTGGTCTAAAAAGAATATCTCACAAAGACACATAGATCCAAATGCAAGAAATGTATCATTTGCTGTGCTGGATAAGTCATGATACTATTTTTTCAATCCCACCCACCCCATATGCAAAGATTTTTATTAAAATTTGGGTAGTAAATTTTCATCCTCCCTGATGTCAATCATTTGTTGTTGCAAAATAATCAGATGATGTTGAATTTTTATTTTTTTAACAAGTGGGTTCAAAACCCACTGAAAATCATAATCTTGAAGATTTTTTAAAAGGCAGAAATTTCTGTTTTCAAGTTTTTTGAGTATATATAAAGTGACAGTTTTTGTAGCTAAGACATTTACATTGTATTTGGCAACAGATTCACAAAACCTCCACAAATTTCTTTTGAAAAGCAGTTTCTCACCCACTGTTAGAACATCACTTTCACCTTGAAGTACATTAAGTATGTTTACTTTTTCAAAAATAACTGCTAGGTAGCAATCTACTGACAGACACTTGTCATCGCAGACAAGATCAGCAAATTCAGAACACGTCTTTTTGTAAAAGAAAAAGATGCAACTGGACTTTAAATTCTCTTCTTCTCTAAGGTTGCTATCAGATAACCAGCAAATGCCTGTAGGATTTTCATGGTCATTTCCCATCTTGTAATGAAGTATTGTAAAGATTCTACTCTTTCAGTGTCTTGTTTTTATTAAATGAACCACATCAACAACATCCTGCAGCACTTTGTGCATGTCTGGCTCCCATTTCTTTGCTGCAATAGCTCATCTGTGAACACTGCAGTGCATGAATTCCATGTATAGCGGCGTCTAGGTAACCTTACCCCCCCAATTCTTCTCTTATTCTGCTCCACCAGTTGTTACATGTGCAGAGCTCTTCCATGAAATAGTTTTTATTAAAGAAGTCATTTACTGTTGGGAATACAATTTCTGTGGTAGATATTCCTTTCAGTGTCTCACAGAAAGAAGTTCTGCATTTCATTACTGGAACAGAATCTGGAAAATACCATCATCTGAGGCATTTTAGAAACATCTGTACTCTAATCCAGCTGCACAGGAAACCTCTCCTACTGTGCAATTTGTACAGACCCTTGTTTCTTCAAATCTTAAGCAATGTCTGCTGTGCATCTTTCAGCAGTGTTTACTGACAAAGGAACACATTTTAGCCTGCTGCCCTATAGCTTTCTGTGTACGATCACAGCCATTTTTACATTTTATGGCAGGAAGAACAAGCATTTCCCGTGTGCTATGCGGCATTTTCTCTTTTGCTGTGAAGCAAGAGACCTCAAAGGAGGTTTCTCTACACATTTGTCATTAGGTTGGGTGGAATTTTGTGAAGTATTGGATTGAATGTCACACGGCTTGAAACATCACTGAAAAAATTGTAGAGGTTTGTCTTCATGCTCTGGATGCCTAGATTTGAAATGTCTTGCTAATTCTGATGGCTTCATACCCTCATTACTTAACTTCTCAAAGCACAATCCACACACAGGGTAAAGTTCATCGTTAACAATAGCAGATTGTAAATTCATATTTAAAATAACGTTTGATAATTTTAATCTTCTTTTATCCGACTTCCTCTCAGATCTGATTAGCTGGCCATTGTTTGTACCTCATAATGGGACTGAATAAGGGCCTGTGCTAAAAGTGTCAGTTCTGCCATTTCTTGTCATTTCTCTGTGCTCACATTATTAGTATTATCTTCAATCCATAGCCTCTTTGCAGGAACCTTTAAAAGCCACTTTTCCAATTTGTGAGGATTAGTTTCGTTAACACTAGATAATATAATCCATAAATCCACTTAATCCAGTGTGGGCACACATCAATTGCAATTCATTGCAATATGCTGAAAGAAAATAAATTATTGAAGGCACCATGGCCAACCCCCCACATTGATAGCAACTCTACACCTCATGCACTGCATGTGACAAGTGGCCATGTGACATATTAGGGCACCACTGCCAATACAAATACTTAATATTAGTGAAGTTTAATCTATTTATTTATTATATTAAAAAATAGAAATTATGGCATTTCCTTCCCATACCCAGCAGATCACCTTGTGCACCCCCTGGGGTATGCACACCCCAATTTGGATACCACTGCTCTAGAGAGCCTTCTCCTCTTGCCTCCAGAAAGTGGACAACATGTGGAAAAGAGACTGTCAGAGATGTTGGGGAGGCTGAAAACACTAAAGGAGTCTCTGTCCAAAGTAAATGTGACATCAAAAATGTGGTGCAGGAGAGGGGCAGAGGAGAAGAGGACTAGGCGGGAGAGGATTTTGGTACCTGAGAAAAAGGAAACAGAACAGCCACTTGCCTCCAAGTGGTGTCCCAAAGCAGCAGCCAACACCCACAGCACACCCCACAGTCAGGACATCCGTGTAATAATAGGGCTGCTACTGGTGAAAGAGACAAAGAGAGACAGACAAACAGAAGAAAGAAGGAAAGAAAACAGAGAGTGAGTAACAAAATTGGCAGGTATGACTGCATGATGTCACCCAGCTCTGTCTCCAGTCTCAGAGTTATAGCTATGTTTATCTTACTTCTCCCTTCTGGATGGCTTCAAAATATTGAAAAGGCAAGACCTGGCACAGGACAGGCATATACCTGGAATCACACATTCGAGAAACATGAAGAAGGCAGCACCTCACTTTCCTTTGAAACATACACATTTCTGTCACTGTGGAAGAAATGTCTCCTGGAAAATCCTCCAGAGGGTTGAAGGAGCATAAGTAGGTTTTACTCCATCTCTTTTACTTTGGCAGGGAATCTCAGGATGCACATGTGCCACAGAATGCCTCAAAAAACCTACCCTGTGATTGAGTGTGCACAAGGCACATGCACATCCAGAGCAGAGTGTGGACTGATGCTGAAAGTTCTTGCATGCTGGGTAGGTGAGTGGGTGACAGATCACCCAGTAAAGTATTGTGCTCTCCTGGCAAAAATGGTCATAATAATAAAAAAAGTAATTGGAAGGTATAAAAGGGAGAGTCTTTCTAAAAGACTGGGTACCATTTGCTTGTCAAGGGCTAAACTGGCTTTTCAAATCCATCCTCCTTAATACACAGAGTGGTATTTACCTGCAACAACACCAAGAAGTTACACACCAGGGCAATATGAAGTGAAAGTGCAAGGTATATCCTGGACCAAGCTGAAGATTACATGACTCCCAGGTAATGAAAATTACATTTGGCAATTTGCTGTAAATCCAAAAGAGGAACTAGAGCTACAGAAACCATGATAACTTTCTGTTTGTTCCCATAATACAATGTTATCACAGACTCACAGCAAGTTTTAATCCTGTGTTTCTGAATGCCTCTCAATGTCTCTGTTCAGAACTGGGATAACTGCAAGGTTAGATCAAGGGTAATGGGATCAGGGTGCTCAGGATCAGGCTGCTGGGGTAGCCCTGAACACCTTCAAGGGCAGCGATTCCCCAGCATCTCTTGACGCCTGTGCCACCCTGAACCACCTTTGGGATAAGGGGAGAAATTCTTTTCATGTGTAGATAGAATTTCTCTTGTTGCAAGTTGTGCCTGCTGTCTCTTTGTCCCTTCACTGTCATCTGAGAAGACTTTGGCTATTTTGTCTGACATCTCCTTTATCTACCAAAGGCAGCAGTTAGATCAGTCCCTGTTTAGCCTTCTGTTTTCTTCTCTAGCACCTCCCAGTCACCTAGGTATGATGCATTCTGGAGTCTCTGAGATTATGTTAATTCCAGGTACAAAGAAAGAAACAGGAATTCTAGACTTCTGCAGAGATTTTTTGGGGGTTGGTTTTTTTTTGCTTTATTTTTTTACTGTTAAGACAGATACCATTCTCCTGTATACTTCCAATGGTTCCACCTGACTGAGGTCTGATCCTTGGTTCTGAAACTGCTTTCTCTCAAGACTTTTGGCAGACTGACAAATTTTGCCTTGAAGCCTCAGGCTTCAACTCAGGCTGTCTACATCTTGCTGGACTGCCCACATATGCACAGTTCTCAGCCTCTCTCTTGCTTAGCCTGATTTTCTTTCTGGCATCTTTTCTCAAGTTATCAACTGAAGAACTTCTGATCTGTAGCTGACAATGATGTTCCTTCCTTGATTTTTTTTTGTTTTAATAGCCAGCCAGAGTAAAGATCAGTATTACTGCTGATGCACGACCATGTTGCATTTGTCAGCTAACTCATCCATTTTAAGACCTACAGGAAAGTAGTGTATGGAAGAACTAAAGCCATCTTCGAAAAAACCATAGCATTTAAAAACTCCTTATACTTCTGGGCACAATAACCATGCAAAGAGGTTCAGGGCAGCACATGGGAAGAGGGGCAAGTGAAATGAAAGACAAATTATTTATTGATATGTTTCCACTGCTTTAGGAAGAGGCCTCTGTACATGTGCCTCTGTTTAAAGAAATTCAGTGAATCAGAAGAGTAGTACAAATGCATGGGGGAGACATAAATTTCCAAATTTTTCCTCCAAGTGGGATCATGGAAAGTTGTGAAGGGACCACTGGAGTTGTACCCCTGCTCAGAGAGCTGTTAGTTCTGTTCATTCCAAGGCTAGGTCAGGTTCTTGTCTGGGTGAGTCTTGCACATTTCCAAGGCTGGAATTTCCCTGGACACTCTGAACATCTAGGCTAGTGCTGGACCATCTTTGTGAGAAAAGAACATAATTTCCTTTAACAGAGTCAAAATTTCCCTCGTTGCAAGTTGTGCCTGTTGCTTCTTGCAAGGTTGGCTTTTATTTTTTACTTCTGTTCTCTACTTGATCCTTATTGACTTTCTGGATTGCCCTTGGTACTCTTCAGGTGGAGCAGTGTTAATGGCTGGCAGGGACTGAACAAGCTGCATCATTAGAAATCAGCACTTAAATAGGTGTCCCTTTTCCTGTAACCTTCCCTTCCTTTCGCTGCCACCAGTTACGTGTGAAAAAAGAACTCGTGTTGCTGCAGTGGAGAGGTATCTGTGGAGAACCTTTCATGAGAGCAGGAAGTCTCACAGCAAGAGGTCAAAGGAACTGTACATGAAATGTCACATATAGGAAGACACTTGCCTCCAAGAGGAGCCTTGAAGCAACATCCGACTCCAACTGCGCAAGCCGGCACCAGGAGGTCGAGCTGCCTATGCGCATTCTGGAACAGGGAGTGCAGCCAGAGACGGGCATGCTGGGGTTAGAGGGAGCAAAGCCACGGGGTTAGGACCCAGAACAATGAAAAGAAGCAACAGCCAGCAGCACAGTCAGCCATTGCTATTACAAATAGCAGGCTCTACACACTTTAGTGCAGTCTTTAGTACTGTCAGCTGGTCTCCAGCAGTGACATCTGCTCCTTGTGCACAGACAGGACCTACTCAAGGAGAACAGCACCTCCAGCTGTATTACACAGTCACTTTCTGCTAAGAGCCTGCACATAAAGGAGTTTCTACATTTATCCATATGTGCAGTTAATAGATTTTTTTTATACAACTAGTCAATATGGTGATCAGCCTGCAGAGGCTGTTTGGCGATAGCAGAAGCACAGAGACGGTGTCAGTGTCTATAATTAGCAATGCTGTATAAATTTGGCTTAAAGACAAATTGATCTTTGTCTGCAGCTACTTTTTTATACAGTCAATGATCACAGTGCAAAGGCATCAGTCACAAGATTGAAAACTTGTCAAACACATACTCCTAACCAGTCTCTGTGTAATTTCTGGGTAACAGAACTGGTCCTGCACAGTTATTTGGCCTGTATGTCTGGCCTTGCACTACTTTTGTTCAGCCTGTATTTTACTGCTCTAAGCAGTAGAGTAAACTTCAATCTATGCATTTCCTCTGTCTTCCATGGCCTACCCATACTACCCTGGGTGTGTCAGGAGCTCAGCCTGTGGAAGAACTGTATGCAGAGATATGTGCCTTACCTCATACACCCCACAGAAGATCGACATGAACTTGCTGAGTACCACAGCACAGATACTGGCAATATGTACAAAAGGACCCTGCAAGAGAAGAGGAGGAGAAAATCAGAGAGGGCTGCCCTTTGCTAACTGACAACCATTTAGCTACTGCAGGCCTCATAGCTTCTCTGCCATCTCAGCCAGTAATACAACCATCAAGGTTGGAAATGAGTGCAGACAGTTATTGAATCAAACCTTTAACGCAGCATCACTGTGTTCACCACTAAACCATGTCCCCAACTGCCACAGCCAGTTGAACACCTTTTGAACTCTTCCTGGGATATTTATTCCATCACTTGCCTTTTCAATGCCTGACCACCATCTCATTGAAGAATTTTTTCCTAATACCCAATCTTAACCTTGCCTGGTGCAACTTGAAGCCATTTCCTCTGGTCTTGTCACTGGTTACCTAGGAGAACTGACAGGTTCCCACCTGGCTACAGGTCTCCCCTGAGGCTCCTTTCCTCCAGATTAAGCAACCTCATTTCCCCCAGCCAATCCTCATAAGATTTGTGCTTTAGACTCTCCAATCTTCCTTAGTTCTCTTATCTCCATTTAATGTTTTCCCTCGCAAAGACTACCTGACTTGTGTTCTTTGATGTTTCCTATATCATGTCTTTGAAAGTGGAAGGAAAATGGCCAGTGAAAAATAGGTGCTGGAAAGAGCAGAGCTTTGAGAAGAGGAATGGTGGTGAAAGTAAGAAAACATTTATAGATTCTTCTTTCACAGACAACTCCCACCTTCCAGACCATGGTCACTGCTGCACACACAATCAGCAATATTTACCTCTTTCCCCACAGGCATGCCACTTCCAAGCCCAGCTGTGAGGGCCACAACTTTGGCCACAAAAGCTTTGAGAGTGAGATACTCCTTGAGGACCACTCCCCTCATAATGGTCTTGAGCTCTGGGATCCCAGACCCTGAAATCAACAGCAGAGCCAGGGATGAACAAAACCCATTGACAAACGGAACAAGAAAAATGAGACAGACAGAAACAGATCTTGCCCTGCCTTCTGCCCTCACCAACAGCCTGTGGAGACACGAAGTGGCAGAAGCTGGCTGCAAACAGGATCAGGCCGAGCGGGACAGCCACCCACACAGCATACTGCAGGGGGACATTGGGGTGCAGTGCTCCATAAATCCACTTGTAGGCTGCAACACACAAACAGAGAACCCATCAGTACCCACAGCTGCTCCAAACAGGCTGGTGGACATCAGAGAATCACACACTTGCTAAATGTGCCCATGCTAAAGCTCCATCAGAAATGGTACCCTCATACTCCTTTTGTAAGACAAGCCTTATTTTGAGTATGAGTTCCCCAATAAAGCAGGCATTCTTCAGAGATGGATAGAAAATACTATTAATACCTGTGCACAAGTGCGGCATAAAAAGAGGCATGTTACATACAGCTGTGAGAACAAATCACTGTGCAGTGCCTTCATTTGGCAGTCTGGGGGTCTTGTGTGGGTTCTGAAGGACAATAACACGGTCCACTAACCATTCCTTCATAAAAAACTAGTTTATAAGCTCTGATTGTGATTTCCCTTCTAGAGCAGCAGAATGGAAGCTGTGCCAGCAGCTATTAGAACAGCAGTGGTACCATTGCTCAGCCAGGTACAACAACTTGAGCGGCTGAGAATCCAAATTGAACTGCAGCTCCTCTGCAACTGCATCTTCTCTACCTGAGCTGGCTCCCCACACAGGCTCAGTAGAGGCTGAGACTTGGCAGGGGAAAAGGAAAAAGAACCCCAAAGGACTCAGCTGCAGGGATATAAAGCACAGGAACCCTCAGAGTAGACTATACCAGTCACCTGGTAGATGGGGAAGCTCTGGAGGGAGGAACACCAGGCTGAAGAAATGTTGGGAGCTTTGAGGAATTGCAGCAGCCAAGAGGAAAAGGTTGGAGTATGTGTGGGCCAGTCAGGACTGGAACATGAGAGGAAGGACAAAGGAACAGTGCAGTTAACAGGATGTTGCAGGGGGTGAAGTGTTTGTATGTGCACACTGAGATGGGGGCTGAAAGATCCTGTAATTTTTGTTGATGGCAAAGGGAGACAGACCACAGGAAAAATTCAGGGAAGGGATATAAGACAGGGAATAGGAGATCTTTGTGAAAAGGGCAAAAGGAGAGGGCACTATATGCCCAGACTGGGGGGGGGAAAAAAAAAAAAAAAAAAAAAAATTAGGGCACTGTATAAGTAAAAATTGGAAAGAACAAAATCAAGGTAAAAAGCAGAAACAGTGCCAGGAGAGCATCTAAGAGCCCCCTCCACCCATCACCCATGTTCTTAATATTTTTGGGGAGAAAGGTTAGCAGTAGAACAGGAAAGGCCACAGTAACACCTCCCTGTGCTCCTGCATATTCAAGGGAGCAGAAAGAAAAGGGATTAAAAATAATTGTTTGTCTTTGACTCATCATACACATCTCTTGTTTCTGCCCACTTACTTCCAAAATTTCCCCTGCCATCCCTTTAAAGAACCTCTCCCTAGCCAACCTTTACTACGTTGCCAGAACTTCAAACTTCCCAAGCAGCGAGGGTTGAGAATGGGACAATGATGCCAAAGGAGAAGCAACACTGGTCACTGGGCTTTGTAACACATTCCTATCCTTTACTGGCTGCTTTTGCAACACCTGAATGGGACCCACCCTGTACGGTCTTTGCACTGGCATAATCCACTCCCCAGCTCACCAACGCCATGACCAGACCCAACAGAACCAAGAAAATCCAGTCCTCTCCAAGCTTCTTGGTGACATATTTCTGGATGCGCTTAGCACAGTCTGTGGAGGGAAGAGTGAACCAGAAAAACTGAGTGAACATAGATGAAGCTGTGTCTGTCTCTCCTGTGCCGAGAACTGACTAAAACAAGGATTTATTTGGAGGCATCGTGGGCTTCATGTTGAAGGACTGATACCCATCCCTCTCTCACACAGTTCTGTAACATCTAATGTAGTTTAAAAAACATCTAAAAAAAAAGGAGGGGGGGTATGTACAGGACACACAGGGTGGAATTTAACATCTTATACACTGGCAGCAAAAGTCTAATACAAGAAAGTCCTTTTCCTCCCATTACAGAGCTCTGTTATGGAAAAAAATATTTACTTGGGATTGCTTTTTTATATTCCAAACATCTTTTCTAGGATGAAAGCTCATGTAGAAAAGGTTTTTCAACCCAATGAGATTCAATTCCTTTCCCTTCCCTCTCTGCTTCTCCCCAGTCATAATTGTTTAAATCCCATCTCTCTTGCTGGCCTACCCAATATCTGGTAATAGGTAATGGAACATGAATTGTCCTACCTTGACATTTGGAATAGTGCTCTTCTTTGATCTGTACTTGACTGTCACGTTTCAGGGGTCTTCCATTGTTCCTTTGGGCCTGTTTCTTCAGTAGCTTTGCTGCTTCCTTGTCTGAAATGTTATCTGTTATCCGGTCTGTGTATCGGCCATACAGCTAGAGGAGCAGAAAACAAGAGGGATCACCAGGAAAAGGCAAGGCAAATGCTCCTTCACAAATAGCATTAAGGATGACAAGGCAGATCTACCAACAGCCTGAGGTACAGACCCACATGTACCAAGCAGGGAGACTGAGACATAGAAACTCTCAGACAGATGCAGCCCATTTATTTTTTTCTTCTTTTTCTTTCTAGTTTCTTCTTTCCAATCTCTCCAAAACCTTTTCACCCCCTTTTTGGGACTACAAGATATGGTCACAGAATATTCGTTATTTTTTAATGTCCTGAGGGAAAAAATGGCTGAGAGATTGAACATTAAGAGACAGCATTTGAGCATTAAGAGACAGCTTTCTGGAGGTACAAAAGAAGGTCAAAGTAGTTCACATGAGGCCGCCATCCTCAGGGCTGTCTCATAGATTTCAGCAGCACTGTAAAACATCTCTGAAGGTTTTGAGAGGCATTACACTCTCAAACAGGCTGCAGGAATGTCCTGCATCTGTTCCTCCTGCTGCCAAGGAATGCTTAACAGGGCACACAGCCACTGGTGCTGCTTGTGGAGGAAAAGAAGCAGCATCATGTCAAAAATATCACAGGCTGCTGCACACCTCCAACCATTATTTACCCAAATCAGCATTTTAAGTGCTCCTGTATCTCCAATTCCTCTGAAATTCCTATTTGCTTAAGCCAGTCTGTTTCTCCAGATACTAAACTTGAAAAGCAGTTGGTTTTATGCAGTTCACAATCACTGCAGGTTCTCACCAAGGACACTTCTTACACAGGTCTACAGTAAAGTGGGCAGTTGTGCTGTCTCGTCAACATCTTAAGGGAGCTTGAAGAACCCTGACCGTGCCCTGTGTTTACCAAATTCCCTGAAGAGCAGCTATCCCACCTCACTCTTTCAGAGTATAGGTGGGGAAGGTGTGCATTTGAGAAGCAGAGAATAAGCTTCTTCTCCTTGCACGTCCTTCAGTGAACCAGGTTTGGCTTTACTTTGGACCAGGTCACCACCTGATGCACTTCCCACCTGTGACAAGGTGACCCTTTGCTCCCTCCCCAGCACAACATCTGCTTCTCTGAGATTTTCTGAGAGGCAGGAGGAGAATGAGCCATGTCTTGGTCAGCAAAATCAGACACTTAAGCTGGAGAATGACAGGACATATGACAGAGATAAAGCACTACCACACACTTAGAAGACACTTCTATTTGACAGTTCTTGCCTCCTCCTTTCAGGGTAACAAAATTGATGTTCCTGTTCCCTTGAGATAAAATAGATACAGAGACTCACTGAAAGATTTACACTGAAGGCACCTCTAGTCCAAGCCTCTGCCCACAGCCTGCAAACTCCAAAGCCAGGTAAACCAGATTAGGCTGCTCAAGACCTTATCCAGGCAACTCCTAAACAACTACAGGAGTAGAAATTACCCAGCTTCTCTGAGCACCTGTTTCAGTGCTCTACCAACTAGTATTTCAACATAACAAATATGACTGAAGGTCCTAAGTATTTTATTCATTTGCACAAATTCCTCAAGAGACACTTGAACCATGTGTCATAGCTCCCTTTGGAAATCCTAGTGGATTATTTTTTTCTTCACAGAACCCCTATCTATGCTTTTTTAAATCATCCAGTTCTAAAGATGGCTCACCTGCTGCCTCTTAAACAGATTGATCCTATCTGAACAGATGAAAGTATTCTTCCATTCATCACGGTTTTGGATGCTACACAAATTTAATGCAATTATTAACCACGATTACCAACATATTCTAAGTAAATTAAGCAGACTCTTTGCAGGGAATAATGACCATGCTCTGACCCCCTTAAAACAGACAGGACAGTGAAACATCAGGCTGAAGAATTTCATCTACAGGGTGGCTGCCACATACAGAATGCGATCCTGCCTAGCAAACTGCTCATTTTTTCTTTTACTGTGTCTTTCAGACAGAAATGCCAAATACTAGCAGATTTTAGACAAATGCATCTTCACATCACCTCAGCCAGTGTTTCATTGCTGTTAAATGGTCATGAGAGATGGGTTTATGTCAAATACAACTCAAACGCATGTCAAGTACGAGATTCAAATTAGAATCTTCCATCTGTCAGATGGAACAGCATGACAGTAAAATAGTATGAATGCTGAAAGTCCTCATATGGTATCTTAGTTCACTGCTTCTGCCTGGCTGTAAAATGGTGCATTTGGGATATGGGAAAAAAAGGAGTTAGTCCACAGACATAAAAAAGAAACTGCTGTCCTGGCAAACCAGGTAGTCTCAATACATTTAAAGAATGCTTCACAGATGTGCTTTGCTTCTCCAGGATTCTGGGAGTATCTAAAATGATAGGAGACTGTGGGACAGAGAAATAATCCAGAAATCAGAGGATGACCTCACAGCAAAATTGGGTTAGGCAAGAAATATCCACCCACTAGAAGATATAAAACTAAAAATATAACACAGTACAACTCTGACTCTCTAGCACGAGGAACACAGGGCTTCTGAGCACCAGAAAAAATGAAGACAATTTTATAAGTTCTCAATTACCACCTAAGGGTTGAACCAGAAAAGGTGCTATCATGCCTACTTGGCTAAATGCTGAGGGAGACCACCAAAATGGTGCAAAGCCAGCTGAAGGTATAAATACCACTCAGGATAGATGGGAGGAATATACATTCCCCCCCCAAAAAAACCCCAAACAACCAAACAAAAACCAAACAAACCAACCAAAACAAAACAACCCCAAAAAATAAACCATCCAAGGGGAAAGCACAACAAGGCAAAGTTTGTTTTCAGAGATGAAGCACTTGTCTATGCAAATGATCTTTTGTCTTTCCGAAAACTGGGGAAATGTCATTGTCTGAGAAACAGAGGAAAAACTGCACAGAATCTCAGGGGAAAAAATACATCACAATCTCAAGAGTTTTCTGGGAGCTATTTTCAAAGGGATCAGCACATGTCTGAAACTGCCCTCCTCACACAGTCCAAAGCCCAAGCTATTTCCCATGCCATTCAGACTGAACAATGTATTGAATACTCCAGTCCTGAAATCCCTTTCCCAGCTCTGCCAGTGCATCCCGTTTATGATCTGCTGCTCTCAGCCACTGAGGCAGCCTTAGCCTGCACTTCCTTTCCCTCTCACTCCTGCCTTGTAGCCATCCTGCTATTCCTAAAATTATCTTCCTTAGGTGATTTTTTCCTGATGCATCACCAAGGAGAAGCTGTGTCTGACCTCAAAGGTGAAACCTCCCAAAATGCAGCACATATATAAATATAAATGTAAAACATCTCAGTCCACTGCTTAGACTCAGAGCCAATGAGGCACATGTAAGGGACAGGGGACAGCAACAAATTAGTAGTTGTTCCTGAAGAAAAGGTGGCTAAGGGGAAATCTAACAGCAGTGCTACTACCCAAAGGGAGAGAGGGGTTGGAGGGAAACATCAGAGTAAGATATCAGGCACAGAGATAGACAAAAAGGGAAAAAGCACAGCTTGCAAGAAAGGAAAGCCCCTGCAAAGGAACACGTCCCCATCCAGCCCCACTTGAGGGTAGTTCAGCACAGGAGCAGGTGCTCAGTGGGGCTGGGGAATCTTCAGTGTTGCAGATGTTCAGAACATGCCTGGAAAAGGCTCTGGACAATGTGACCTACCTTTGGAGTCAGCCCTGCTGTGGGTAGGGGCTTGGGCTGGAGAGCTCCAGAGGCCCTCCCACCTACCTCTCTCTGTAAGCCTGTTATTCTGTATTACTGCATTGCCTGATTTCTTACTGCACATCCCTCCCACTACCCCCATCTGTGTATTGCTGAGTGAGCTCTCTGCCAGGAACACCCTTTCTATAGTCACAAATGGCACAGCTATTAAATACTTCACCAGCTGTAACTGCTTTCTCATGCAGAAATAAAACAATACAAAATCCTACAGTGGAGGATAATGTATATTTTTATCAAGGTATATTACATCATCTGTTATATATCTACTGTCTCTTATATTAATTGTCAAAAATTATTATTATTATTATTATCATCATCCTACTATTATTATGTTATTATCTATTAGCAACTATATGGTTTTTGACTATCAGTTATCTGAAGGTCCAAGGCCAATGACCAAGATTTCACTATTTTGGGGCCTGTGTAAACCAAACCAAATCACATGTCCAACAGGTAGCAAAAAAAGAGCTCAACAGAATCAAAATCTCTGTCAAATGTTTTTTCTTATGACAGTGGGGAAAGAAATCTTAATGCTTACTCTGTGTGGAAATGTATGAAAACTTGTGCAAGGGGTGGTTTTTCATGCTAATTACATGATAATAAATGTGCATGTTTGTACAAAGTACTCGTGCATATTTATAATTTATTTGCATGTGCATGAATGACCAGCAAAATATACACATCCACAGCAAACCTGGCTTAGCCAGAATATGTTTGCATGCAAAGTTCCATGATAAATGTACATGCACACGTGTACATGACTGCTTATATAAAATATTTCTAGAATATATTTTTCAGGAAACTGTAAATACAGCTGTCTGGTTTTTAGATTACAAACTGCCTTCATGAATGTATGCTTGCTTGGGGATGTTTCTGCCTGAAGATATGCATGGGAATGGGTTTGATGGCCTTCTTGTTTGTATGTGAGATCATCTATCTACATGCACTGACCATCAGGCCTCTGGAACTGAGCACAGAGACACTCTGGTGTCAGGGAGCAGGAGCACAGAGCTGGTGGTGTTGCCTCACAGCGTCATCTGTGCCTACTGGAGAGTGGTGTTAGGTGTGTGGGACTGGCATATCTGCTGGATCTGTGTGAGCTGGAATGTTTCTGGGCATGGATGGGCTTTACTGGAGAAAGGGTTTGCATCCAGCAGCTCCCCACACCCCAGCTCACTCCTGGTTCATGGCACACACACAAAGGTGCATTTCCTTCACCCACCTCAGCTCTCCAGCCCCATTTGCACCCCATGGGGCAGGCATGACCCCAGTGGAGCTCAGCCTGAGGTGGGCACACACACCTCTCCACCCCATCCCACTCCCCCTGCTCACCCTCTTAGTGTGGCTGCTGCAGCCAAAGCTCTGTCTTGTGTTGGTGTAAATAAAGCCTAAACTGCTCCAGTCAGATCTCTGTCCATCTGGGCTGCTGCTTCAAGTAAGCCAGTGGGGTGGTTTGGGAAGACTTTAGTGGAGGAGACATGCAAACTCTCAGATGCTGTAGGCAGTTTCAGAAGAGAAATTCCTGAATATGGCCATGGAACTGATTCTCTCATCTTTGGCAATATGTGACACATAACTATCCTCACTGGGATGCTTATCTACTGGAAAAGATCTTGGTGGCAAATGTGCCTGTTTTCCTATCATTAAATCACATAAGTCTTTAGGAGACAATTAATGCAATCTCCTTCATTCTCCAATCACTCGCCATCCATGTAAGAAGATTTGTATTCATTTAAGGAGAAACATCCACTTTAGGAATTTCACATTCGCATGCTCTCTTCCTCATAATTTGACTGGATCCTTCATTGCACCAAAGCTGTTTTAGATCAGCTTAATCAGAACAGAGTGGTAGGAAATAAGACACCAGGACTCTGCTGTAAACCCTCCCCTTTGCAGGAGGCTGTCCCAAAAGAAGAGGTAAGGGACATACAGAGCATAATGAGCAAAAAGCCATAACCAGAGTACATCTTATGTCCCAGACATTTTTCTGAGCCAGTGCTTGTACAAACCAGAGCAAGAGTCAGGTCAGGTTTCAGGGTTAGAAAATCCCTCATTTACAGTTGAACTAAGAGTTATCAAAATATACCAATATAAATGTAAGGATCTATGACCATGAAGGGCTTTATGGTCAGAGAAAAGTCACAAGAGAGCTTTACTTCATCTACACAGCTGTACAGATACCCATATACATACATTACTGCTCTCTTTGGTTTTACTCACTCCTGTGCTTTACTCAACATCACTACACAGCTGAAGGCAGCTGCAGCTTCTCTTTGCTGTTACAAACACACTAAAGCTCTGGTTAATTTTCCCCATCCCAGCTTGCCCATTCCAAGTCTCGTTGCATCCGTGGCAGGTGACAAGAACCTCTGACTTGAATTACTGGTGGGATCCTTGGTGCAAGTACGGCCATGAACGTCAAAGCCCGACCTGGAGTCAGCGAGCAAGGGGGAGAGCTGGTGGCACTGGGGATGGACAGGGATGTGTGCTCTGAGAGCCCCAGAGCCTGTGTGATCCCAGGGAGACCTGTGCTGCCACAAACCATCCCGTTGTCCAGCCCTACCTGTGGGTAGCTGAGGGAGTTCTCCGGGGAGCGCAGGTCGTCCCCTGTGGGCCCGGCCTCGTGTCCTGCCTCCAGGGGAATCCCGTACCGGGTGCATTTCTCAAAGCAGACATAGTCGTACTGCGGTGTGCCCCCCCACAAAGCTGGCTTCCAGCTGGGATCCTCTGTCTTGCTCTCTGAGCTCTCCATTCCTCCACTCCTCCTCACGCTCCTCTGTAACTGAGTTGCTGCTCTGGGCCTTACCTAGAAGCACCTCATGTTCTGGCAGAGAGCATGGCCTCCGCATTCTCTGCTGATCCTTCCTTTCTCTCTCTCCTCAGACCACTCCACCTTGTCCTGTTCCTGCACTCTCTTTCACTCTGCCCCTCCTCCTCCTCCTTGTGCCTCTCTCACTTTCTTCCCTTCCTGCCCAAAGGGTTCAACTATATTTATAGCAACCTTCTTCAGCCACATGATTCCCCAGTGCCGTGTCTGATCTCAGCAAAAGGCAATAACTCTGCTGGGATTGAATATCAGGTGTGAGCAAGAGGGGAACTCCTGAAGGAGAGGGAGGGGGCAGGGGGAAGGAGGTGGTGTGACAGAGCTACGAGCACACAGACAGAAAGCAGAGAGGAGGAAGCAGAAATTATTATCCAGGATATCTCTTCTTTCACAGCTCCCCATCCCACGCACTCTGTTTGCAATGAGAACAAAGGTCAGTGGGCTTCCTCATTTTCTCCCCAGACACCAGGTGCCCTAAAGACTGAACAACAACCATAAAGAAGCCAGCAGCTATGGTGAGATGGAACGAGATGGGTGTTTGCTCAGTGTCCCAAGACCATTTTTCTAAGCATACAATTCACAGCAGCAAGCCCTAATGGAAAAGTCAGACATCCCTGTAAACTGCTGAACATTACAGTCTAATCTCAGCCTTCCCAGGTGTTCTTATGGGGAATACTTTGCACTTCAAAGCACATCACCAAACTGCTCTGTGGGTACTCAATTATAGGTGTATGCAGAAATTTAATTCTTCTTGATGCTCACTTTTCCACAGAGTAGAGCATTCAACACCTTCTCCTCTCCACTCTGCCACTTGTTTCTCAGCCAGGGAGACAAGCAACAAGCTCAGCCAACACCAGTGAGCTACCAGCCAGCAACAGGAATGAGAAGCATGTTAAAGCAACTTGGCCTAGAGACACCTCCCAGTACTGTCAGAGTGCTGCCTGGAACCATATTTGTTCTGGGGGCCATTTTAATTAGGGAGGAGCAGAGAGTTCAAGGTCCCAGAAACTGTATACAAGAAAAAAGACCTCATATGCCAAGCTACTCATACTGAGTAAGAGATTTGCAGGCAGGATGGGGTAGAGAGAAGGGCAAAACACCCCTTTTTGGGCCCAGAACAGTGGTCTCATTATTTCATTTTGAAGACTCTTGTAAAACATTTCTTCTTTTGCTTTTTTTTTTTTAGTCTGCATGGTCCTCGAGAGAGGAAGGTAGAAAGAGTCTCCATGAGGAAGACACACTTAATTTCTTGCACAAACCACCTCCTCCATGCTCCTGCTAAGAAATAGATATCCATTAGCAGTAATATCCACATGGATAAGGTTAGTGTGTGCAATCTACAACTGGTATCAGGCCAGGCAAGCACTGAATGTACTGAATATTTACAAAAGCAATATTAGTGCTGCCTCAAAATTTACAGGCTCTCCTATTTCATTCTCACCAGCACTCACTTTACTGTCAACAAGCACTGTCTTCTGGAGAAAGACTGTGTCCCATAGGCAGGACAAAACTTGAAATTAATCACCTTAAAGAAGAATGTCTAAGTGACTGTGTCTAGGAAATCAGAGAAAAACATTTGGTTGCCCTTACAGGTTACCATCAAAAAGTTATTAATTGCTCCCAACCTACTGAGATGCTTTTGGAAGGACATTGTCATTATGGCTTATATAAAAAATGATGCATAGCACAATCTATATAGTATGAAATATTAAAAAATGTCTAAAATATAAGGTACATCATGTTATAGGGAGCCTAAAAACTGAACACAGTAGAGCCCAGCAAACATCAAAGCTGTAATACAGCACCAGATCTTCAGCCACTATTATATGTACTGGAGGAGAACACTCATCAGAGCCACTGCAGAAAACAAATGAGAACCTTTAGCCAAAAGTGCACTCCTCCAGCTCTTGTTTTTCAAGAGGCACAAGAATGGCACATTAAAAATTGCTGCAGTATAAAAATGAACCCTCTACTGCCAGCTAATCAAACTCTACTGCCTGTCCTGCATGATACTGTTGTGGAATTTCCATAGGAAACAACGACATAATAATAGCTCAAAATAGGACAATTCTACCCTGAAAGGCTTTTTCCAAGAACTGGAAAAAGTTTTTTTCCCTCTCAGCTTCCTAACTGGCCCCAGCCTCACTCACCTCATCAATAAAAGCACGAAGGACCCCAAGGCCAACCAAGTGACTCCAGATGCTACTTGAAGAAGAAACCTTTACTATCCTCACTAGGAAGACATCCTACAAACCCCCTGAGCCCCCACTCATGCTTCCCACAGTGTAACAAACCTCAGCCAGTGCATGGCAATGCTGCAACTATGCAGCTGATCCTGAGCAATTACTGTGTGCATGGTGGCACCTATGCATTAGGGAAGACCTGGCTCATCTGCAGCTAAGAACCCCAAACTCAGCTAATTCCCACTTCTCATCAAACAGAGTCACCGCCTCTAGTCTCTGTACCCAGATATTGTCTAACAAGGAAACAATGAGAACTGAAATTTGTCATTTCAGTGCTTGACAAAATATATGCAATCTTTGGAGATACTGGATTTATTTCACAATAGTTCCTGTGTCCTGAACACTAATCTTACCATGCTACTGAGCTTATAAATCAACCTCTTTCCCCTTGGAGGTGAAAGTGCTTTGTCAGCTCTCTGGAAATTATTAACAATCCTTGCTATTTCACAAGGTACCAATAATCTCTGTCACAGCCTCCAGCCTCACCGGCACTACCTTAGTTAAATTCAAGCAGCTACTCTCAACTTGTATTTGCCCTGAGATTTCAATTTGCTTCTATTTCACTCTCAGAAGAACTTGTAGACTCAACAGTTTGTCCACTTTTTCCAGCTGGCACAGCTGAACCTAAAGAAAAGTAAAATTCTGGCTTTACTCATAATCTTTTCCATGTTTTCAGATCTGCAAATAAAAACATAAACAAAGAATACAGAGAACACCTTGGAAAAAAAATCTGCCTTTCTGCACTGCTGCCCAGCAACTCCCCTATCACTCTTCCTGCAATCTCCTGCCACAGCTCTTCTTCATATATTTTTTTTATTGCCTCTCTGTCCTGCTTTCTATTTCCCAGGCCTTGCTCTGCACTTCCACCAGGACTCACAATGGAGTCTTTCTGATGCTTCAGAGGTTACCAGCACACTCAGGAGACTACCACAGAGCTGGAGAAAGACGTAAAACCAAGAGGAAGGTGTCATAACCATTTGCACTAGCCACAAACACAGATGACCTGCCCACATGGCTTTACTCCTCAGGTGCACCTAAGCCTCTTGAAAAGGCTCACAAAAATTTCTAGACCTCCCCATGGCATGCAAGAGGAAAGTTACACAATCTGCTCATACACCATTTTTTTTTTGACCATTGCATTTTACAGGCCCTAGTGGGACTCCAAAATGTGTTTCAAGAAAACATGTTTGTGATAGATGAAAATACAGCTACAGTCCAAATTAGGGTATTAAATGACAATAAAGAAAAGAATAAAAGCTGGAACAACTGTCAACCCAGATGGATATCTTGTCCAGTCAGGCTTCTATTTTTCTCCCTCCTCTTCTCAGTTTTCTCTCAGGTCTGCCTTTCTCTGCATTTATTTATTTCTCCATAATGCTTTTTAGGATGAAGAAATACAATTCCTAGCCTTCCCATCCTACTGCCTTGATAGTGAAAGCTGAGAGGCTGGTAGGGAGGGGGGTAAGGATGACTGAAGACTCACACTTCTCCCATGGTTTGGTCCCGGGAGATTTAGAACCTGAAATAATCCAAGTGCTACTTATCAGCAGTGACAACCTTAATGTTCCCTATGCCCCGCCCACACAATTATCAGACATCATACCAACTTCTGAGGCTTCTGTTTATGCTAGAGCTTTTTTTGGTTTTTTCTGTAGCAGGTTTGTCCTGAAAGATCTAGACCACTTCATGACCTCACTGTACACAAGCCTTGCAGCCCACCAGCAGACTGCAGCCTCCTCTAGAGTGAAACACCACGTCTATTTTTTCAACCCTGCATACACAGACATTATAGCAGATGGTGATGCAGAGCCCTCTGTCACCCCAGACTGACAGGAGTGGAATTTGCTGAGGCAGAGTTATTGTTACATAGAACCCTGCATGCAGATCAGAAACAGTCATTTAACAACAAATTAAAAATAATATTCTGTGCTAGAGAAAGCCCAGCCCAAGAGGTCCACAAGTCTGTAAAGAAGATAATAGAAAAGATAGCCTATGGGACAAAAGAAACTATAAAGATGAAGAAGGGAGTTTTAAAGGAGGAAGAGGAGAAAGGTGACAAAAGGATGACTACTTAATACTAACACAGTCTCTATGAGAGAAACACAGAAGCAATAAGAGACAAAGCACCGAAGGGCATCAGGGGATGAGAATCTGGACAGGAAGATAGAGCAAGCATATTTTGCTTCAAGCAATACCTTTAGATGGAGCAAAAAAGAGTGAAAAAGCAGGAAAAAGACTTCAGTAGATGTCAGAAAAGGCAATGGCTTCTAGATGAGAACAAAGCTCTTGACTAGGACATTTTATTAGACAAGATAACCATGGAGGCTTCAAAGAGCTACAGGAGGCAATTAGAGCTTTGGGAGAGAAAGAATGCTGTGAAAAGGGCTGGGATGAGGGAGGGAGACTGGAAGAAAAGACAGCTTTTATAGGAAAAGAAAGAAATAGATCATGGACTGAGGCTTGAACAGCAGCAAAAGACAGAATTTTAAGCTGTGCAGAGGCACATATTAAGCCAGGCTGGATATGGAGACACAACGGCAGAGAACTCTCAGAGGACACTTGAAAGAAGGGTTGAGTTCACAGCAAAAACTAAAAAGAAAAAGGCCAGAAAGTTTAAGGGCTTTCATCATGGAGAAATAACAAGATAATATGATGATATTCAAGTGGACATGTACTGACTAATACTAGACTGAGTAGAGCAGAATTGACAGAAACAGGGCAGATTTTGAAAATCATCAG